GCACTTTTCCCTGCAACCACAGGAAGTGCTACACCTGCCCCTACACCGCCCCCCTCACCCCCATCCCAGGCGTCAAGAAGACCTTCCACATCAAGCAGATGTTCACCTGCACATCTGCTAATGTGGTATACTGTATCTGTTGTTCCAGATGTGGCCTCCTCTACATCGGGGAAACCAAGTGGAGGCTTGGGGACCGCTTTGCGGAACACCTACGCTCGGTTCGCACGAAACAACTGCACCTCCCAGTCGCGAACCATTTCAACTCCCCCTCCCATTCCTTAGACGACATGTCCATCCTGGGCCTCCTGCAGTGCCACAATGATGCCACCCGAAGGTTGCAGGAACAGCACCTCGTACTTCGCTTGGGAACCCTGCAGCCCAATGGAAACAATGTGGACTTCACAAGCTTCAAAATCTCCCCTCCCCCTACCGCATCCCAAAACCAGCCCAGCTTGTCCCCGCCTCCCACCTGTCCTTCCTCCCACCCAACCGCTCCTCCCACCTCAAACCCCACCCCCATCTCCTACCTACTAGCCTCATCCCGCCCCCTTGACCTGTCTGTCCTACCTGGACTGACTTATCCCCTCCTAACTCCCCACCTACACTCATCTTTACTGGCTCCATCCCCGCCTCTTTGCCCTGTCTGTCTCCTCTCCACCTATCTTCTCCTTTATCCATCTTCCATCCGTCTCCCCCCTCTCCCTATTTATTTCAGAATCCCCTTTACCTCCCCCATTTCTGAAGAAGGGTCTAGGCCCGAAACGTTAGCTTTCCTGCTCCTCTGATGCTGCTTGGCCTGCTGTGTTCATCCAGCTCTACACCTTATTATCTCAGTAGTGAACCAGATTTTTTTTTCCGCTGACAATCGACACCAGTTTCATGGTCATCACTAGTCTCTTAATTCCACATTTGTATTAAATTCAAAATCCCCTATCTGCCATGAACCCAGGTCCCAGGAACGTTTCTGGGTCTCCGTAATAGCTTACCAATAACAGAATGAGGCCATCTCCTATCCTTTATTCGGTAGAAATATCAGCATCTCTAGTCACCTACTGAGAAACAATTTTAAAAGAAACTAGCCTTTCTTTTGTGTGCAAAAAGCTTGCTGCTGGGATATTTGAAAAGGGACTCTTTCACATTAGAAGGATAAAAAATACACACATCCATATTTAGAAATATTGATCTCAGGTGACTTTGGGGGAATACCTCAAAACTACGCATGAGATGCGACACTATTCTCAATCAACTGGATTTACTAACCACTTTTGCATTTCCTTTAAAAGGCACAACATTATGATGTAAACATCAAGCACATTAGATTTTCCTTGCGTTCCAGAAGTGGATTCAATATTGAAATCAGGAAAATATTATGGGGAAGATTATATAGAAAAGTGAGTCAAGTTGGAATCTCTGTTGAGTTAAAGGTAAGTTCTGGTGAATGTCTGGTGAGAAATTTTCATGAAAAAAAATCTAGCCTGTGATGGTTTTACTGATCTTTGTAACCAAGCAAGACAAAAATATAGATGCTGATTCCTTAGGTAGGCACCTTTCATGATTCTTGTATGGGGTATTGGTGAGACATTCATGAGGCTACAGAATCTGATTTTATAACCTATTATTTTAAATGGACTAAAAGTCTAACACTAGAAATCTGTGTCTACCTGACAAGTGCCTTCTTCCCCTGAGCCCTCTTCAGGGTATGCCCAGTAGAAAAATCAGTAGTGGTAGATTATTCATTAAACACAAGTACAAATTTCACATTAGTAACATATGCATAAACTTCAGCTTTACCACAATCAAAGTACTTGTAATATTTGAAGGACAAGAAAGTGAAATTGAAATTTGCTTTGATTCATAACGATAAATATTTAATGATGTCTAGATAGATGAATCATGCATTACCATGCCATCAGCTTTGATTTCACTGTAGTGGAACTGTGTTCTTTTCCAGCCAAACTTCTAGTATTCAACTTCTGCATTTCCTGCAAATGGAGCACAAATATGTCTAATTCGCTTTAAAAACACAAGCAGTTTTACACTGGTGAAAATTGAGTAAGCAGTTTGCAAGGAGACTATGCTAGGAATAGTCAAAAAGATTGATAGGAGTCTACCTTAGTTTCTGGAAACATTATGTGCTGAACTATCATGAAATAGCAAATAGGCAGTTGTATACATAGTAACCTGCTGCAGCATTATATTAGTTCATTGTATAAAGTCTGTGGCATTCTAATGAACCATTGTAACCTGAAATTTAATTTAAAACATTTACTTAACACTAATTCATTCACAACTATATCTGAGGATTTGGATAAGTAGGATAGCAGCATTGGGAGGAAACATATCATTTGAACAGAGTCAACCCTGACCAGGTAGCAATCTATCTTTTTCATTTCAAACTCCACTCACACATGAGAAATCTACCAAAGTAATGCAGGCTTAGGAACGTCAAGCTCTCACTAGGAGCAGCAATAACAGCTTCCAAGACCTTAAAACAAAGGTATTGTAACATTCTGCAGTTATAACCAGACGATAGCTTAGAAAATATGCAAGCATTGTTCTTACAAATGTTATAATTAGAATCTAACTGAGGGAAAGCACCACAACATTAAAATACACTTTAGGCTTCATTCCTACATCAAATCATAACATCATAGATTGCATAATTCAGTTCTGTGATGTCTGGATTCATGGCGCAGCAGAAGTTATTTAGTCTACAAAAGCCAATCTCTAGTGTTAGCCATACTGAACATTGTTTTGACCACTTGAACTAACAGCATACAGTAAACATATATCAGAAGTGTGCAAAGTAGAAAGACTATGTTAAGGTGTGTATTAACCAATTCCTCAGTAGCAATTCGGTCTGGCCCACTGGTGTTTTATTGAAAGGATCAAATGATTTTGCACAAACCACTTGATGCCAGCATGGAAACAACAGTAGGCACCCTGCTCAAAGATAGGTGAAGGTAGAATATCTCTCAGCATGTGACCATATAACCTTAGTGTGTCAGAGAGCAACTTTTGTACTTCAACCTCAGTAGGGAACAGTGGATTGTGAAGCATTACAAACTCACCTACCATCTGCAATTGGACGGCAATTGACAAAGTGGATGTGCCAGTGGATCACTTCTCACTTAAGATGCTCATTTAGGCCTGAAGTTCACAACAGGGTCTTGTTCAAAGTATTTGGGGTATCTGGCTATCATGGTTGCAGTGTACAAGCTGTAAGATATCTGTGTGTTGTGAGGCTTGCAGCAATGTTAGATGTGTGAGCGTGAGAGGACATTATGAATGTTGAGTATGAGTTATGATCAATAGAAATTTTTGGTAGTTGTTGTACTGAGCAGTATGTGAATATTGTGCTGAGGTTGGTTGGATATGGCATTTGAAGGTACATTCACTGGCCTTGCAACTCTTGTGAGGTCAATGAACTCTTGCAGCACCACATCCAAGTCCTTGGGATTAGATATATGGCATTGACAGCTGTGGCTATCTGGTTCCAATGCCATCACTAAGTTCAGCTCAGGGACCTGCACATCCCATGTAGATAGCTGACATCTCCCATAGGAGAGGTGATGGTCTGGTGGTAGTGTCACTAGAATATTAATCCGGAAACCCAGGGAATGGTCTGGGTACTTAGGTTCAAATCTCACAATAGCAAGTGGTGGAATTTGAATTCAATAAAAATAAACTGTAATTAAGTGTCTAATGATGCTGATTGTCAAAAAAAAATGGTTCACTAATGTTCTTCAGGAAAGGAAATCTGCCAGCCTTACTGGTTTGGCCTATATGTGACTCCACCCCACAGCAATGTTGTGAATAATCGCCAGTGAAGAAGGTTATCTAATATTATACACCGATCTTGATCATTTGGGCCAATGGGCTGAGGAGTGGCAGATGGAGTTTAATTCAAATAAATGCAAGGTATTGTTTTGGTAAAGCTAACAGTTAATGGTATGGCCCTGGGTAGTGATGCTGAATAGAGAGACCTAGGGGTTTATGTACATAGTTCTTTGAAAGTTGCATCACAGTAATGCAAGGGAGGTTAAGAAGACATTTAGCATGTTTTCCTTCATTGCTCAGACCATTCATTACAGGAGTTGAGATGTCATGTTGAGGTTGTACAGGATGTTGCTGAGGCCACATTTGGAATACTGTGCGCAGTACTGGTTACACTACGATAGGAAGGAATTATTAAATTGGACAGGATGCATAAAGGATTTACCAGAATGTTGCCTGGACTGAAGGGTTAGAGTTATCAGGAGAGGCTGGGTAAGCTGGGATTTTTTTCACTGGAGCGTATGAGGTGAAGGGTGACCTTCTAGAGGTTTATAAAATCATGAGGGGTATAGATAAGGTGAGTAGCAAATGTCTTTTCCCTATGGTGGGGAGTGCAAAATTAGGGGGCATTTTTTAAGGTGAGAGGAGCAAGATTTTAAAAGGACCTGAGAAGCAACTTCTTCACACACAGGGTGGTTCATATGTGGAATGAACTGCCAGAAGAAATGGTAGATGCAGGTACATTTACAACATTTAAAAGACATTTGGACAGGTACATGAATGGTTTAGAGGAATATCGGCGAAATGCAGGCAAGTGAGACTAGTTTAGATTGGGAATCTTGGTCGGCATGGGCAAATTGGATCAAAGGGTCTGTTTCCATGCTGTATGACTCTATGACTCCAAATGCCCACTGGGCAATTAGGGATGGGCAATAAATACTGGCCTACTGATGTCCACATCCCACGAATGAATAAAAAATAATCCGGCACCAAGGCTTCCAAAGCAGATTTATAAAAGTTTGGAGCCTGTTCTTTGAAATGTCTTGTCATTTTTGTGACTTTTCAAAGTCAGGTTCAGTTGTACAATAGCTTCCAGCATCCTCTGTTACCATGCCATGTCTTCCCTTTAAAAGGCTTGAACTATGCTAGTCTCTTGCAATTTTTGAGTCACCTGCCCACTCAAAAGTATACTTAGTGCTGGCTTGTGTATTAATCATTAAATAATCATGTTTGCATATTGCCTATATCAAATGCAATAGGTACACAGTAAATCTGTATCACAATTCCCATTCATATTTTCATGCACTGTCCAATTTCATGATTACAGGATCGTAGAATAATACAGCATGGTAGAAAGTCATACACCCCAGGAGTCTGAACTGGCTTTTCTGAAGCACAATTTACTGCATCTTATTCCCTCACTGTTTCTAAAATAACATACGTTCCAACATTTTAATTTGTATGCTAATAGTACATTTTACATTGTCTATTTTCCAACCCATTATAATTTCTTTATCTTATTTGATTTTAAGTCGATGCAGAAGTGTCTCTATTACACTCCTTATAGGTTTGCAATGTGAACGAACTAAACAAATCAGGAGTAGCAATTTAACATAGCAAACATCATAATTTCAGGAAAAAAACAATCAATATGGCCTTTGGGAATGCAGATTATTTATGTTCAATTATCATGTGCCATTTAGTTTTCAGTAAAGCTTCTATTCTCAGTTGGTCTTTTTTTCCTATGTGTACATAAGTATATTCTGAGATACAATTTATTAATCATGACTATTTATTGATTATGCTGTTTAATATATGCAACCTTTTGTACTAAACAAAATGTCATTACCTGTGATTGATACCATATTGGACAGTCTGTCTCCAGATGAAATGGAACAGAAGACTTTTCTGTAAAGCTGAGGAACAGAAATATGAATAAAATGTACAGATTTAATTTTAAAAAGACACTTGTTCTGAAAATTAAGCACAAGGGCCAAAGTTTTGATGGAGCACTGCACAATACACATGTGGTTGTTGGCCACTAGTCTTCCCTGGCTCTGATCTGGTCACAAATTCTAGGACATGGTAAGTTGCACAAAGATTAGATGCACCACAACATTTATGAGACTCCCTGGAAATCTCCCCTGCAAGATGTCAAACATTCTGCAAGATACCTTGCTGCTCATTTGGTAGTCTGACTAAATTGGATCGAAGATCTCTGTATATCTAAAATAAAAATCTCTGCAGCTAAATCTGTTTTTCAATAACCATCAATTTACTGCCACACTGGCAGAATAGTGTGATTAGTTCTATTACTATTAGTTTTATTAGTAATGATAAAGCAAACCAATCATATTACTCAAAATATTTGCAGAAAGTTCAGAAGAAGAGTCTGTCAGACTTGAAACATTAGCCCCTTTTCTCTCTCCAAAGATGCTGCCAGGTCTGCTGAGTTTTTTCCAGAATTTCCTGTTTCTATCTT